GTTTTATAAAATGTTCAGGGCTAGTTTGCTCACTTTTACCCAACCAAACACTATCTCCAGGTCTTGATTCAAAATGGTTGCAATTTCTTGTTAGTTTGAAGCATTGCTATACAGCATTGAGTCGTCTGCATACATTAACATTTTGGCATTCTTAATTGACAAAGGGAGATCGTTTGTGAAAATAGAAAATAGTAAAGGGCCTAAGCAACTCGCTGTGGAACCCCACAGTTAACATATGTAGCCAGATAAACTACTATTATAAAAGACACATTACGATCACTCAGAAAGATAACTGACCATCCAAGAGCGTCATAATGTCCATATCTTTAAAGTTAAGTAATCATAATATCGTGGTCTATTACATTAAAGTCAAGCAAGACTGTGCTGACCATTTCTTGTAAGAGTAGGGCTTAATGACCCATCTCACTCCCAAGGTTGGTGGTGTTCACAAAGCGTCATTGTCTTGTAGGAGGGTGTGTTATCAGTCTGCCATGCCGGAGATAGGCAATGTCCCCTCCAGGCTGGCATGAGATCCCTCCTCTTCTGGCGGACAGCCTCGGCCTGTTGCCGTCTGCACCCGGCTTTCAGGTTCGATGTGCAGGTGCCAGCTCCAACTCACGGTTGCCCCCAAGTTGTTTTCCCACAGTAATCGTATCTTGTCTTCCGCCTTGTTTTCCGCTTTAGTTCTTTTTCATGGATTTAATGCTTGGACACATACTGTGTTGGATTTGACTTTGTGAGCGACATGTGCAGGTAGTTATATCACTATAACTACCTACATATGTCAGTATAAATACCCTAAATAGCATGTAACGGAGGACATCAGAACGGGGCCTGCCGCCCCCCCCCCCCGTCCGTCCGTCACTCACAGGGAACGGCAGAGCAGTCTCGATTGTCAAATGACTTTCTCGGGTCATATTGGAACAAAAGCGGTTTGACTTTAAACTTGAAGGTCACAACCTGCAGAATTAATCCTCCTTTTTTATCGCTGCCTGGGACCGAGCAATTACTGCCGCCGTACTCTAATCTTGCCACGCATCCATGTACACTGCCGGCAAACTTCAAAGAGCTCCTTTGAAAAGCCCCCCCACCACCTCCAAAACGAATTACCATACAGAAGTCTCTCAGCACACGGCGCCACACTGCGTTGAGTCTCTTCACAGACGCCGCTGCGCTTGGATGATTGAAGTCGAGCTCCTCGACTCGCCTCCGCGATCAAAGTGGGAGGAAGGCAGGCGGTTAGCGAGACGAGCCCAGAAGTGAAGCTCTGCCTGGGGCTCACTTTGCGCGGCGCGCGAGGGAGAGACTTCCTCCGCCTTGGACCCTTCACTTTGCACAATACCTATTGTCTAGAGTAGCATGCTTTTCTGTTACTGGTTGTCGTACTGGGCGTCGTTGAACTTCTATTAGCATTTTAATGAGGCACGCATCGACACTTTATGTGGAGTGTGTATCAAACGTCTAAAGTGAATATATTTTTAGAGGTGTTTATAATGCAGACAGTGGAAGCTGGTTGCCCTCCTCCTTCCTCATCCTGATTCTCACAGCAGTCTGATGCATGAAATGTGACTGTTGCTGTAACTTTACTCTATTTTGCAAGTTTCGCTAAACAATGAACAGCAGGGGCCTATTTGGTTAATAGCAAATGGGGAAACTAAATTATTGACATCATGAGAATTATGAATAATCACTACGATAATTTACAAAATGAATAAATAACCACTGTGTGCTTACAGGGATTAATAACCAATACTATAAATAAAGTCTCAGAATTCATATTCACTCGCTTACGGTTAAAGAATGTTGAAGGTTTAAGTTCAAGCACTAGCCGATACGAATGTATACGACACGAGTAAACACAGGGGAAACGTTCCTTAAGGTACGACAGAATTCATTCAATTACAGAAATATAACCAATCAATTATATCTATAAACCTACTATCTAAAAAAACAATCAAATAAGTGTGCATGTGTGTGTGTTTTTTGGATGATTTCACAGATGTTTTTTTAAATGATACTGGCATGGTGGGTTAGGGTTGCTTAACTCTGGGCTAGTATCTGGCAGTTTTTAATTTTGTTCCTCTCTATAATAGAGTTTGACACCACTGCTCTCTACTCAACACTTACGTCACTCGCTCGAAGGCAAAGCCGCTTTGGAGCGCGAGGCGGCAGCGGGGCATCCAGAACGGAAATCCTTTAAAGGTGGAACTCAAAGGCTCAGGGAGGAAAAGAAGGGATGACCGGAGGAATATTAAAAAATCTGACTTATTTGGGAAACCAGGGACTTGTGACACGACTTGTTGTTTTGTTGCACCTTCAACACCCATAAACACACGCACACACAATCACACACCCAGCATGCAACACTACCGATACCACTAGTGTTCTCACACCACATATAGAACCATGTATGCTATATATAAATCTACCGCTTCCAGATTAGCCAAGGGTGTTCTTCATCCTAACTACTATGTAACCTTTAAGATAATAAAGGCTGTGTGGCAATAATAAATGTTGATTTTACTTCCAGGTCAGCAAGGTTGACGTTAAACCCACTCGTACCTCCCGCTAGTTGGTTTTGGGATGACACTTGACGTGGCGGACCCTCGGCACTGACGCTGGTCAGAATGAGCGGTGATGTCCGTAGGTTTCCAATTGGCATTCGGGCCAGAGAGCACCTGAAGGTGTAAGTCCTTAAGGATGGCAGCTTGGTGAGTTAACATATCGGACATTAACCCAAACCACTTTTTTTTAATGCCAAAGCAAGTTGAAAAAAAACAGTGTGAGCACGTAAGAAGCTGAAATAAACTTCTGTTAAGCCGATGCTAGAGGGCAACGTAGGGGGTAATTGAGTATTAACTGGAACTAGGAAGCCACAGATAAGTTGTCAAAAGGACTCCTAAATAATGCCAATTTGTAAAAAGGTCTAAATTGATGCTTTGTTAGATGTGGCCGAAAAACTAGCAAACAAGTATTAAAATGCTTGTTTTGGAGTTTGAAATGATTTGTGCGAGCTTTTGCTTGCATTGCCTCTTCTCCATCGACAGTCAAAATTGAATCGGTCAGGCATGCATACGGCGGAGATGTCCGCGCCTACAAATGCTACCCAAACATAACGGCGTTTGTTGGTCCGACGTGCGTAGAACTTCCACAACAGGTGAAACTGTTTTCAGGCCACGCCCCCTCTCCGTCACGAATTACGCAATTCATGCAAGTTGACCAGAAATGGTCCCCCGCGAGTACGGGAGGCATTTTAAGGCGCTGGAGTTGAGTCAGGGTCTTGACCAGTTGAGTCAAGACCCTGAGGGCTGAGGACTTAGTGAGCTGGACATGCGGACCGGTGCCAGTGTGTCACGGTTTAAAGCACAGCAGCTGACCATTGCTGCCGTACTTGACTGGGGAAGTGTTGGAAACGTTGACGTGGACTGGAGCGAACTGTCACAGCGCTTGATGCTGTGAAAGCAGCGATTTGCCAGGGACGAATTGGTTTGCTTCTTATCATCCACGAAGCTCAACAACAGAGCCTTCCCTCTGAGCGAGGATAACCGATTGGTCCGCACCGACTAGAGGAACAGCCCTCGACCCAATTAGCTCTGCTGTTAGCCTGGTGTGAAACAAACAAAGTTTCTGCCAAGTGAAAACCGCTCGCTGTCGACGGTTTCAGCTGAATTATAGATGTGGCGGTGGACCAGAGTTCTGTTCCAATGGAGAGATCACAGATAGAGAGTGACGGGTCTGCACGCCAATTATGCAACCGGCCAGCTGTCACAGGCAAACATTATCTCTGGCGTCAACTCAAGTCCGACTTCTGAGAGCCTCAAAAATGCAAACGCAGATTACGGAGGAAAAAGAAAAAAAAAAAACGCAGTTGAAACGGCAAATGCGATGAGCTATAAAGTAGTGTGCCTGGAGTGCAGAGCTGTCCAGAGCTAGAAGAGAGAGAGAGAGCGATGGCGCCGTAATCAGGCTAGGCCCCGGGAGGGCCGAGCAGCGGCGCTGACAGCGAGTCGGTACTCATCTTCAGAGCAGGATATCTGGGCCACAGTCCCCTCTGTCTGGCTTCGACGAAATAGCAGGGGTTACAGAGAGAGGACGCGTAGACGGCAGGCAAACAAAACAAAGTAATACAGTAAAATTGCAAAATAAGTGGGGTTGGATTTTGTGGAGGCGACAACGGAAACGCAAAAGCTGGACTGCGGGAGTGAATGATGGGAGTGGACAGAGGACGATTCATCCTGATCTCTACAAGTAAACAATAAGATTGGCTTCTTTTCTATTCTTTTCTTTTCTCTGGCTGTTAATCGGTGCAGATTCCTCGCGAAATCTGATAGAATCGTGCAGGTTCAGCTCAGACGGGGGGAAACAATGCGAGAGAACCCGGCACTACACCTGGGGAACCGGAACCATGGCAGACTGACAGGGGGAGACTGTCGGATGTGTGCAACAAAATCGCGCTTGTGTCCACACAACGAAAGTCGCCCCCAGCAACTTTAAATATGAGCGTAAAAGGAAGCTCAACTGGATCAAACTATGGGAACGAGATTCAGCGGAAGTGGACGCGAGAACATCCAAAGGACGTCCAGATCACAAACAACGCAAAACGCTTAGTTTAAGTGTCTTCCTGTCAGATTTGGGTCGCAGAAACTCAATAAACCCAGACCCAACACACAAGAGAAGAGGGCGTGATATATAGACACCCAAATATTACAACGCAAATATAAATACTGTGTATGCATCAGTGTGTTGGACGCCAGTCCAAACGATGAGATGAAAAGAGCAAGCCGCTCGTCACCAGAATACAGTAATTGAATCTATGATATATTTAAACCATAGACTCAAATGAACCAGAATAGCAGCAAAACGCACTCAGTTTCAATTGACGCGTGAGCGAGTCAGCGCCAAATATAGGTCCTCTCTCCCTCCCTCTCTCCCCCCCCCCGGATTGTACCATCGCAGAAATGATTCCTTCACGTGTGCGATGAATACTTCATTGCTGACCCAGATAACGGCGACACGTCGGGCTCGGAGAGCGTCGCTGCGTCGCGGTGCCGCCCGCTCCTCCGCCGCGCGCTGCCGCCGCGGCGGGAGCCGTTGACGGCGCGCGCATCGCATCTTCCTCCGGCCGAGGACCAAAAAACTGACCGTCCCCGGGCTCGCTGGCAGGAGGGGGGGGGGGGAGAGAGGATAAGCGCCGCGCACCGAGAGAGGGGCGATGGAAACGGGGGAACAGGTGAGAGGGAGAGTGGGGGTATAGGGGAGGGAGGGACGGGGAAGGGGGGAGGCCGCTCGCTGGGAGAGTAAAAGCTCGTACTTGAGACAGCGGCGGGCCGTTACTCGGTACGTTTGTGGTCCCGCGCGGCTCCGGGAGAGTTTTAGAGAAAGTTTCGGCGTCGGTCGGTGAACTTCGCGGCTTCGCGGTGAGACGCGACGCGACGTGACGCGACGCGGCGCGGCGCCGTGACGTCACTGCGGGGCGCTATGGCGGCCGCTCGCGAGGCAGGTGAAATGTGACGCTATCGCTAGCTGGGTTATTGTATTTATTCAGGTTAGCTGACGCTAAGCCTGCGCGAAGCCCTCCGGTGGGGCATTTAACGCACATGTTTGTGTGTTATGCTAACAATCACAAAACGCCAGTGAGGGAACATATTGGGGGGCAATGAAAAAGTAATGTGCTAAAAGGAGTTTCTAATATTCAGTCTAAGGGGTGGACTAAATATTGTGAACACCTCTCAGTAGACTATTCTATTCAACAGCGTCACAAATGTCAGAGTTTTAATGAGTAAAACCCTGAAGGTGACCATTTTTAATTAGTGAAGGGTTGCGTCGCATTATTTTTTTTAAGTGCTGTCCGCATTGAGGAGTTGAGTTGAAGTGTGAATTATTTCTATTTACATCATTTGTCACAGCTCAAAAGGTTTTTTTCAACTCCTTCCCCCCGCCCATGCGGTGATGATTGATGAGGATGGATCCATTGTTAGGGGCCTCATGACAAAGGCGACAGTGAATATAAAGACCATCCAGGCCTTATCTGAAAGGTCACTTACTCAATATTCACCACACTTGTCTGGCTTCAGTCTGTCTGGGATCGAGCTGCGGCTCAGGATAAGTACAGAAGGAAGAATGACATTTCTTTGTCCCCCTTTCTCCCCGAGGGAGAGATTGTCTCTCTCCTCTGCCGTCACACTTTGCCCCAACTTAACGGCGTAACAATTTAAAGGAAGACCTTTGTATTGCTTAGTCTCCTCCACAAACTCTATGGGGGGCTGAGTGGTAATTAAAGAGAATATATCAACTCAACCACCCAATTAAATGTTCATTCTACAGTCTCTTACACTGACCTGTTTGCAAACGCAACACTTCCTTTCAGTATTTATCGATTCGCTATGGCCAGAATGCAGTGAGGATACGCAGTATGTTCCAGAGCAGCGCTCACTCAGCATAAAGCGAACGCAAGGGTGTTGCTGAAGGCGAGTGTTCCCTGCCAGTTGCGTGCGTGATGTAATGCCCTGTGGTGTGGTGTGGAGGTCACAGTGTCGCCGTCTTCGCAGGTGACCGAATCGCAGCGCTGAGAAATCGTCGAGGGGGTTTTCCTGCCCGGGAGTCCGACCCTGAAGGTAGTGCCATTGATTTTCCTTTCTTAGTCGAAGAGCCTCACTTTCTTTCCTTTTCTCGTTGCAACAATAATTCATTACTTCCTCTAAACGTGGAGACACGCGGACGGCGGCTGTCGATGCGGTTTTCGACGGCGGCCTCGGGCCTGCTCCTTCGTCCCGTGGGACTCCCTGCCTGTCAAAGTTAGGAGGAAGTTCGAGCCTGATAAAACGTATTACGCCTGTCAGCCGGAGCTGCCGGGATGACGGGCCATCTCTCCCTGTGACAAGGAGAGGGACATCTTCCAAATAACAAACTGACAGCCGCCATCCAGAGGCGCCGCGTGACTGAGGACCGCTGGCACAGACCGTCCATCCTTCCTTCCCGGGTACAGAGACGCAAACTCGCAGCGGGTTCATTCTGTTCTCGCTGAGCAGTCAGCCGCGCACGTTAGCAGAAGGTGTGCACGCGTTACTGGGACGGTGGGTGGAGGTAGGACTCCGACAGCTGGGTGGTGTTGGTAAATGAAGCGGCGGCAGCAGGGGGGGCAAAGGGTCGTTACCGCGGTGCTCAGACAAACCGTGCGTTTTGCAATTATAACTTTCCAATTGCTGTTGATGATCCATATTGGCTGATTTTGAGGCTGTTTTTGTTATTTTATTGACCGGTATTTAAAGGATCAGACTACTATTTATCAGGAGCATCACAAGAATAGATTTAGCCTCTCTATGATCAGCAAAGATTCTGAATGATATCTTTTCAATTGTTATAGTCATATACAAATTTGACAGAATACAGAAGATGATTTCAGTTCCTCGACAAAAACAAATTAGACAGGATTACATTTCAAAATATATCCTTGTTGCATATCTCCATCATTTGCATGGGATATAATTAAGCTTCTAAGACTCAAAACTTTATTTTATAGGAGCTTGTTACTTTTGCAATAGACAATAGAACAAACCCAGGGCTGTCATGACATATTCTAAATCCAAATATATATACAGTATATTTGAAATGTAAGAAACAAAGAACCGTTCAGGCAACGTTGTTCGTGGGGCCGTCAATAGATTAAAAAAATCACAAATGAATGGCACATTTTGAAATTCACGTAATTAATGGAGAGTAAAAAAAAAAACATTCTTCTAAGGACTAAATCTTACAAGTAATGAGTAATTCCTTTAGAAAGCATGTATTTTAGACATTGTTGTTTAATTGTAAATGTTATTTTAAACAGAAAACTACACACATTTGATCATCTTGGAGGCAGAATCCCACCGGGTGGAACATGTGGAACCAGCGACTCTTCCTGCTGTCCTCGTGCACATTTAACCAGGACTGTTTTCAGATACAAAACCCTGCAATAATCTATTATCCTCTTTACTTCCAGGCCTTTAATAGCGGAACGGATCTAAAGCCAGAACCTCCAATCAAATCAGGTTCAAATTCCAACAACCCAAATTGAATCGAAACACTCCTCTCGGGAACATTCATTAATGTTAATTAATGACGGGGATATTTAGTTGATGGATTTCACTGTGCAAATTCATCGACCTGAGCTTTTCAAGTGTGGCGGTTTTGAATGAGATATTACTTAAAGCTATGTGTTAAAAATATGATAAAAACATGTACTATATTTGTTAAGGGGCGGCACTGCTGTTCCTGTGTGTACGATAACAGAGAGCGAACGGTGGGAGACTGAGGGAAGCTTTAAAATATTCACTTATGAATTCCCGGGTGCTCAGCCGGTCCAAAAATAATCCAAAGCAAAGACAAATGAGTTTCCCTGCATCGTCCTCCCGGTCTGCCTTAACCCAACCCACGGCAAGTGTTAGCTCGCGCTGCCGTGAGCCGGCGGTCTACGGGGATGCGCGCCGCTGCCGTTTGATCCTCTCTTTGCTTAACTCAACAACGCTGAGCGCGTGTGCACTGCAGCAGACCGCAGGCCGGCTGCCTGGCTGCTGCGTGTCTCTACGCACAAGAGGTTTATAGAAGCAAGGCCGCCTGCGGAACACCCCGTCCGGGCCTCCGGATCCGCACGCGCAGGAGGTAAACGCACTCTTTGTGCTTCTCCTCAGACGCCTTTAACCCCCTCCAACTAACTCTTTCATAGACGTGTGTGTGTGTGACTCGCAAATGAAAAGAAAAAGCCCTACCTTTGCACAAACGCTCTCGCTCTGAAGTTAACCGTTCGAATCTTAAAAGGGACACACACACACACACACACACACACATGCACGCTCTGATAAAAGCTCGGTGCAGCAAAATAACCGTTAGGGAGTTCATTCCAATTCTGCTGACAGCAGATAGGCTTCAGCGTTCTCTCTCTCTCTATCCAGCAGTAATTACTTATAAGGCCACAGGGATTATGACGTCCCCGAGTCCCCTCTGCAATAGAGCCGGTGCTCCATACAGCCTCGTTCACCGAGTACGGTTCTTCTATCACCCCCAGTCCTCATTAAGCCGTCCCTCCCTCTCGTTATTCCCCCCCCCTCCCTGTGTAATATCCTCCATCCATTAACTCGGCCCGGTCCTCCACCCGTCCTTTTCCCCCGTCCTCGCGCTTCCTCCTCCTTTTGCGATCTTCTCCAGCTGCCACGCTGGATCAGCGCTCTCTTAATTTGACTTGTACGGCGCCGTCGGCGAGGGGGGGGAGAGGAGCCACGACGCCGGGAACATACGAGTGCACATACATTGTCCTTGTGTAAGACGGCGTGTTCCTCTGCGTGTCCTCGGATACCTCGGCCTGTGCTGTCCCCCCCCATCCAAGGTTGGCTGTCTTTCTGTGTAGATACAGGAAATTCATCTATTTCCCGCTTGGTCACCATGGCTCCTGAGGCGGCCGCTTGCAGATGTGCCCACTGAGGTGTGTGTGTGTGTGTGTGTGTGTGTGTGTGTGGTGCAGAAGCCCGTTGCCCAGTAGAACCATGAGGCGCTCGATCTTTTCCCTGGTGCTGGGTTTACGCCACACAATTCAAAACCTGGCCTTGAAATGGCCGACGGCATTCGGGATATCAGCTGTGAAAAGGCTCATATCAGAGATCGAATCAGCACTCGCTCCCGTGAGCTGAGATATGTAGCGTGATTAATAACCTGTCCCCAACGTCCAAATGCGCTCCGACCGCCGGCGGCAGCAGTAACGACCGTAAAGCTCAATATATATATTTAAGTGGCCTGAACAATGCAAGTTACAGTATCGTTAAAGGTAAATGTAAGTCACTTCTGGCAGGTCACTGTGTTAGTTTTTATTATTACGTTCCTATGCGACTGATGCATGTGAGCAATGATTTTGTGGATAAAGGAGAGCCACAGACCGCACGTCTTTTAAATGAGAATACCAAACATCGCCAGGGCGTCGGTCAGCGGTGACGACGTGGCGTGGTTTGTTTAAAAGGCCTGTTCATTGGTGAAGGTTACCTAGCTGAACAGAAAGCGCAGGTATCGTGAGCGCCTGTTTGCCTTAAAGCTGATGTCGTGCTTTAATCCTAAATCCAAAGGAAAAAATTCCGTCGGCGTGTCGTTGAGGGAACCAGCACCAACGCCAACCTCCGGCTCGTCCTCCAAAAATACACCAAGCAGAAATGCGCAAAGCCCTCTATTTTCTTTCCTCTCTTCACAGCCGAGTTGCCACGGTGACGAGCTTGCCCACTTTTTACAGCATCTGTGAGCCCAACACACACACACACACACACACACTTAAGCGCGGATGCAAAAAGACGCGGATCGGCACGCAAGGGCGGCGGCAGCCACTCGGGCAAGTTTACTTTTCCCTTTTTAAATGCAGACGCGAGGGACGCCGGTCCACTGGTGAGGATTCGTCACCGATAACACACGGGTCGCTCCTCGCACGCACGCGTCCAACGGGGGAGATAAGATTAGCAAAGAGGGCAGCCGGTGGCCAACTGGCTCCTCAGCGGCCTCAGCCAACAATCAGCCACGACTTATTTCCGACACGCCGCTGTCTCACGGCGGCCAGCTTCGGCCGGCTAATTTACTTCATCAGTACCAATGCAAGCGCAGGAACAGCTGGGCCGGCGCGTTTAGACATTCAAATCCGCTGTAAAATATGCAAATGGTGGCTTTGGCGGCGAGCCGGGCCGCCGCAAGGCGGGAGCTGCGGGTGGTTCCCCTGCTACATTCTGAGGCTGCTCTGTCCCCCCTGTCACAGAATCCGCCTGCTGGTGCTGATTTATCAGAGATCCTCCCACGTCCACGCTGAGTGACGTCCTTAAAGTGCTCAACGGGCCTAAACCGCTGCTTGAGTGAACCAGGTGCATTCAAATAATATTCACATGTATATTAGAATTCAGCCAGAAAGCTCCAGTGACGGACTTCTGCGTCTCCTTTTTAATGCGAAAGGCAAAGACCTTTCCTCTTCTTTAGCGGCGATGCTATCAGTGTTAAAACAGGCCAAGCTGGGAACCGTCAGACAGAGCTCAGGTACATTCTTTGGCACTCACACACACACACACACACACATCCACATACGTGCACACACTCGCACACGCTCGACACATTTTGGCACGTTCCACGGTGCACCGAGGTCGGCTCCGGGCGGCTGCACAGATGCACCGTTTGAATACTGCAGGCTAATCGGGCGAATCGATAAATGTTGAGAGGGTGAGCCCACCCAAGCAATGGAAACAGGTCGCCGCGCTGAGAATAACTCCGTCTGCGCCCCAAATCACAGGCCAACCTGTAGGACGGACTTGAAAGGGGCCCCCAAGAGGAAAGGGGGTTGTTGTGCTGCTTCGCTCGGGGTAAACGGGGTAAACGGGGTGCCGTTGGATGAATCGGCCCTGAATGCAGGTGGCTGCAGGATTTGCTGCTGCGCCGTGTTTTAGGGTCTCGTCACCCGTTTGAACCTTCATAACGTCGGCTGCCTCATAACGGACAAACTGCAGAACAAAAGCAGGGGTAAGACTCCGCCGACGGAGGCTTTGTGTTATATATATTTCCCCACATCAGCAGTTGTTTACAGTGACTTGTTCCCCCACAGTTTGAGGTATAGTCGTCGCACCGTGTTTACACTGTTGGCTCATCATGTTTCTTCTCTAACTGCATCTTGTTTTTGGGCTCCTGCATGTAAAGCGTCTGCATCGGTTGCTGTGGTAACGACCTGGATCTAGCGGGTGGTGCCATTTTTCCCGACAACAAGCTGCCACCTAGATGGAAATGTGTCCTCTCCGTCTCCACGGAACTCGCGCTTTGTAGCTTTTGTATCAGCAGTCGTACCTTCTAATCGTATAGAGAAATAGTGAAAAGAAAAAGTATTTGGAAGAGTGTCTTTTCGGGACTCAACGTCTTGAGCGTTCCACGATGAGGAAGAGCCATAAGGGATTTAGTTGCAGCGCAGCGGCTCGATCCGCTCAATCCGCTTTAGTCACCTCAGATATTCCAATTTGTCGTATCAAACCTCCTTTGCCTCCTCCTGAGGCCCAAATCCAGCCGTTTGGGCCTCAGCTCCAGGTTAGCTTTTGCGATCTCACTCCCGCTCCCACAATGCAACCTGTTAATGCCCCTCGACGCTCGATCATCGGCCGTGGCGAGCGACCACATCACGAGGCTTCGTCTAACGAGGGGAGCTGTCAGACTTCGAGGCGGCCCCTGTGCACGAGGCCCCCCGGGGGGGGGCGAAGGGGGGGCGTGGGGGGCACCGTCTAATTAAAAGTTTGGAGTCGGAGGCACGCTAATTGTAAATGGCTTCAGAGGATGCTGGTGGGCTCACTGTTAAACTCAAGCTACTCATGCAGCTAATTAAAAAAAAAAATGAAGATATAAAAAGAAAATCAGTTACAGATTGCAATTAATGCCGCCTGCGGATCGGCCTCGTTAGCGGGAGAAGAGAGCCGCTCTCCGTTTGTTCTTCATCCCACTTCATGAGCCCGTTATTTACAGCAGAAGCCGGCGATCGGCGGTCACGTGCCCGAGAGACGAACAAAGAAAAGAGGGGGAAAAACAAAAGCTGCGCCTCTCGGGGAAAAGCCCAACTGTTGCCATGGCAACCCCCGGTGGGGTTTCATTTTGGGCAGTTGTCTCTTTAAATTCAGCCTGTGTCCCCCGTCCCTCCGTCTGCGGGGCGATCAAAAGGTGTGACAGGTAGATAAAGCGGAGGGAGAAGCCCAGAGAGGGGGAGAGGAAAGGGAGAGGTTTTTTGGAGGGGGGGGGGGGGGGGGCTCGTGTTGAAAGAGCTGTGAAGCCTTCAAGGATTCATCGCTGAGAGGTTCGTTCTTTTAACGTTCTTATGTCTTCACTTAAATGTCGTCCACACCAAAGGGGGTGAGCTACTCAACAAT